TATTAACAGTTGTCTAAGCAAAATACTTCGGATTAGTTGGCCAGACACGATCAGCAACGACTTACTATGGGAGAGAACAAACCAGATTCGAGTGGAGGAGGAAATCAGGAAGAAGTGGTGGAAGTGGATAGGACACACATTGCGGGAAACACCAAACTGTGTCACTAGACAAGCCCTCACTTGGAACACTCAAGGCAAAAGGAAAAGAGGAAGGCCAAGGAACACATTACTCCGAGAAATACAGAAAGATATGAGAGGAATGAACAAAAATTGGGTGGAACTGTAAAGGGAAGCCCATGACAGAGTTGGTTGGAGAAAACCGATGGTCGGTCTATGCTCCGTTGGGGGTGATAGGCGTAAGTAAGTAAGTAAGTAAGTGAGTACAATTCAATTAAAATCTAGGTTGTTTCACTTAGAGTTGTGGAGATTAGTGTTTGGAAATATTGAAATTATCAATCAATTAGTGTTAGACCATCATTAGGAAATCTTGAAGCACTACTAGACGGTGGTCGTTTCGTTCTGGTATGAATATCAGCATCAACTTCCAGTGTGGGAATTCTCGGAGTTCTAGTGAGAAGATGTGACCGGTGAAGTTCAACCTTGTTAAGTGTAGGCAGTAACTATCGAAGATAATGGTTGAGGTTGCACGAAATCTTAAATTGATCAGAGTAAGACGTTAACATTGTTGGATTCCTGCTTAGTGGTCCAGAGGTTAGGTGTTCGCGCAAGACTGAATCGTGAGAGTCATAGATGCGCACTGTTGATAATTAGTCTCATATCGGGACAAAACGGCCGTTCAGTGCTTCTAGGTTCCTAATTGTGGTCTAACAAGGAGTGACTAGTGGTTTCAATGTGTTAAATCTAGGTATTTTCTGGTATGAGAATTTCATTGACATCATCAGTCTACTTAAATTAGACAGTCGTTTGGCAGTGTAGTGTAACACTCCTCAGTAGTATTCGTTCATAACTACGCACACGAGAATCAAACCTAAAACCTTTGGTCTGGTTTGTAAACTTTTAATCTCTAGAATTCTGAGTAACAGTTCAGTGATGTGCATGTTTAACTTACACTGATTCCTAATTTTAATGAAATTCAACAATTTTCATAATCCTTTATTGATCATTATCATATGGACACTAGTAACTATAACTTCGAGAGGGAATTTTCGGAATTCTAGTGAGAGATCATAACCAGTGGAGTTCAGCCGTGTTCAGTGTAAGAAAGATATTCAGAAAAGATGAAAGATGATTGCGCAACTTCGTAGATTGATTAATGTTAAACATTTACACCAACGGATGCCAACCCACTGGTCTGGAAGTTAGGTGTTCGTGTGTGAGACTGAAGGTCCTGGGTTTAACTCCCTTTAGGCGGTATTTTGGATGCGTACTACTAAACAGTATCAGATTAGAAAGAAACGGTTGTTTAGAGATTCCAGGTTTGCAATGATTGTCTAAATTAAATCGGTTTTTAATTTTATTAAGTTATATTCAGTTCAGTTATGTGCATGTTGGATGAAACAAATATCTTTTCGAGGTGAAATAATCACAATTTAACTGTTTTCTGCTTTGTTTAAAATCAATCATTATGCTTTACAGAATAGTTTGTAAGTATTATTTCGAGTTAACTATATGAATGCCTTAATTTCTTATGAGAGAATGGTGAGTACTGAAATTCAAACGTATATATATAGTGAGATATATAAACATAGAATCGAATTCAATGATTATTGAACTGCATTTCAATCCAATTGAACAAGAAGAACAATTGAACCATTGAATTTCGATTTCATATTCTAGAAGTGTCGTACTAGTTATGAGATTTAAATATTTTTGGTTCTACCCAATCGAAAATATTTGATGTATATGTCTATCAGATGGTAAAGTTTCTAATAATTTAATTATTGGTAGAATTTATTACATAACAATAACGATAGTGTTACGATGTATCGTACCCTAGACCTGGTCTAGGATATGTGCTGACCCCCCAAAACTATTTGCTTTTTTGCCGCCGTGTCGCAGCAGCTGAAACTAGTAAACGCAATGCAACCTATGGATATCGGTGAACTAGCGAAGGTGACTCGTCAGCTGATGACATGAACAGTAGCTCAGGTCGGGTGCGAAAAGCAGGAGATAAATACTGTCGAGAAGAAGATTGAGCAGTTGGAGCGTGAGATTTCAGCATTACGAGTGAATCATAAAAGGAACGATAAATGTTACGCTTGTGGAGAGGCAGGACATTGGAAGATAAACTGTCCAAGAAGACGACGACGAAGATATTTTAAACATTATAACGTGTGTTCTTTTCACCCTAGGAATCTGGAGGTTCTTGAACTAGTACATAGAGGGGCAATTTATGGCAGAGTGTACATAAATGAACAGGAACGTGAGAAAGAAGCAAATACCAGACATAAAGAAGGCGGAACAACAGAGGAGAACGTGGAAACCTTTTGTAGCGGGGGACCTAGAAAAGTGTAGAGAACAAAAAAGTAGCATAGCAGGGGGGTCGGGGTCGGGAAAGCTGATCCCAAAGGGGGAAGGATCGTATGTTATCACGGAGAGACGCGGCGCGGTGTACACGATCCAGAGAGAAGACAAGCAGAAGCGCGTAAATGCTAGTCAACTGCAGAGATGGTTTCAAGATTATCAAGTGTATGAGTCACGAAAAGCACCAAAGATGACAACGGTATGGTAATCAGAAAGATTACGACGACAGCTTATTAAAAGGGGGGACGAGTGCGGTGCGCGCTACTTATAAGTAGTATGTGACACGAGTAAAAACGTAATGTCTGGCAGCAGAAGATGGGGGAAGATCAAGAAAAGAAGAGTGGGAACACAATGTGATTTGTATGAAACGCATGAGCAGTGAAATGTTAGACAATGGATTGATGTTCGTAACACGAATAGTCCAGTTCGATATGATGGATTGATATTTTGCAAATTAACGATTTACGATATGGTTTTCCTATTTTACCCATTAACTCTGTAATTTGTGATAAATACAATTCGGTTGTCCTCACCTGTGTTCTCCTTCACTACACTAGAGCAAAAAAGTAAAAGTGACTCAATAATATGTACAAAACCTATATGCCAATATATATTCCACCTGTTTAGAAAAGACAGTCATTTCTTGACCAATGATGAGTATTTGTCCTTGAGGCTATTTTCTGATGGTCATCAAATGACCTTGTCGCTTTGGCCATTTCTAATTGGCTTACTATGTCAGGTAGCAAATCTGATCTAACCACTTGATTTCTGATCATCGATAAAAAGAATGCTTTTCAACCATATTTTTCAATCTTTTATCTCTCATCAAAAAAATTTTCCCTTTAGCGAGTGTTTACATTTCATTAATAGTAAATAGATATGAACTGTTTGTACACACTTTCCTAAGTGGTAATATTATCTAAAATAATTTCTTTACATTAAATTATATATCAAACTATAAATTAAATAATTTATTACTAAGGGAAAAAAGCAATCTGAAAGTACCATTCATGGAAGCGGAAGGGGGGTAATATTTCATTCCTGTCAATTAATAATATTGTACTGTGGTCAAGTGAACAGCATTTCATACCATTGTACATATATAAACATTGTAAGATGAAGTACCAGAGCATTAACTAATTTCTAACAACGATTATTCACTTTTGGTGTTTTACAAAAACAACACAATTCAACATTCAATGTTAACCTGTTGTTCAATAGTCAATTTAAATTATAACAAGTCGATTATACTTGTTTGTAATGCGGTACATAACGATTTAGTGTTTTTTTAACAGCTTCACATACACTCAACACAATCACCTACACTTGCGCACACTCACTCACGCACACAGAAGCATAAAATATTATTTCTTAATTGTACAACTAGAAATGTCACCTTATCGTTTCTTGCCTCATGTGCCGTTCGTTTTTACAGTTTAAGATGAATAAATAACTTTCATGTACGAATAAACGGTCAATGTACGTAGTACTACTACTACTAATCACATTATCATTATCACTAAGTAGTTGAGGGAAAGAAATTAAGTGTACTGTATATTACCATTATGATGATGACGATTTGTACAGTGTACACTATTTCATGCTTGTTTATCATTCATATCTGTGTGTGTGTGTGTGTGTGTGTGTGTACAGAACATGAAGTGCGATAGTTTTGAGAGGAGAAATTCTTCTAACAACTCTGAAGCAATTCACAAACACCTCACATGTGTACTTGTAGGCACCTGTGTGTGTGTGTGTGAGTGTGATTATGTTTGATTTATGCGTTTGCGTGAAGTACTTTATATGTCACCTGAATGTGTAGCTACAATTTTCACAGCATAAGCAAGTGACCACAGTGTCGTGTCTTTTGAATAGAAAGATAATAATAATAATAATTATTATTATTAATAGCTTTGTTAATAAATTACACGTGAATATATATATATATATATATATATATATATATATATATATATATATATATATATATATATATATATATATATGAATAGCTGTAATGAAACAGAAGACGACAATCGCACACGCATTAATGTTATATCTTTGATTTGTGGAAGCAACATAATTTACAGAATAATATAATAATGACATAAATAAATGGGCAAGTAATTAATTGTAACTATGCATTGGTAAACACTAGAATAAAGTTTTTGATAGTAGTAGTAGCAGTAGTAATAGTACTAGTATTAGTATTAGTAGTGGTAGTACTAGTGTAGTGAAAGAGAGCACAAGTGGGGTCAACGAATCGTATTTAACGAAAATTACAGAGTTACTCAGTAAAATCGGAAAACCATATCGTAAATCGTTCATTTGCAAAATATCAGTTCATCATATCGAACTGGACTGTTCCTGTTGCAAAACATCATTCCATTGTCACTATTCATGCGTTTCATACAAATTCCATTGTGTTCCCACTCTTCTTCCTTTCTTGATCTTCCCCCGTATTATGCTACCAGACATTACGTTGACGCTCACGTCATATACTACCTATAAGTAACTCACACCACAGTAGTAGTAGTAGTAGTAGTAGTAGTAGTAGTAGTAGTAGTAGTAGTAGTAGTAGTAGTAGTAGGTGAGATAGTCCCTAGTATTAACAGTGATAATGTATTCGAAACGTTTGATGAAAGAGTTTGCTGGTGTGATAGAGAGAGTGGAAGCAAAGAGACAAACAAACGAGCAGTGTAAATCGACGACAAGTCAATCACAGGAGATGATAAACGAATAATATGCAACATTCAGAAAATGTAGGCAGGTGAAATCACATGATTTGTGGTGTAGATTTATGAGTTTAGTTGATTCAAGTCAGTAACCAACTGCCGATATACTACAAAACATAATATCTCTTTTATTTACCAATAAATATACCTACGAATGTACACTGAATGCAGTTCTGGCACAGTTAAACATCTAATTGTACTATCGACATTCCCTAGGCAGTAAATAATCCACAATGTTGTCCACAGGATAACATCAACAAACAAACGACTACTGTTCAGGTAAATCTAAGAGAAAATCTCAAAATTCTTAATCACATTAATCAATATCATGTTGGAAAGTGTCTCATAATTCATGTAGATACTTTTAGTCAGTTCAATACTGATTGACGCCCTGTACGTTGATGATGACGCTGTCAAAATATGAGTGCTAAACATCACATCTGCTAGAAAACAGTATCACAAATACATGCTCTAACAACTCACAACACTTTGATGAGATACTTATCTTAAAATCCTTATCATACTGTGAGTAGTTCGAGTTAATTAGTGCAAGGAAACGAACTAACAACCATGTAGAAAGTGGTTTTTATCTAGTTGTGAAGAACTGAGCGCATCATCATTGTACTATCTACTCATTTAATCCTATCTTCGTTAATGTAAGTGAAGAACAGTTTATTTTCGAAATCAATAGAAACAATCAAACGAGGTTTTTTGAGAATAACTTGGTTAAAATCAAACTTAGTGTTTATTATGAAAAATCAGTTGAGTGGATTCTTGACATTGAAAGAATATTTACACACTTTTCGTCCAGATATGAACACTCGAATTCAGTAATATGTTAACTTGCATAAATATCAAGGATGTGACTGAAATTCCAAGTTGAATTTCGGTGATTTTAGTGAAAAACAAAGAGTTGTCTCATCTCTTTTTCATCTTCAGTACAAATATACAGGTGATCAGCAGATATGCAGTTGAGTTGTCGCTTCAATAGTTTAGGGATAGCATCACTAAATATGACAGCGATCAAGTGACGTTTGATTCTCAGGAATTTTTTCGGTTCCCTCAATTTTATCTAAAAGTCTTCTGAGAACAGTGCTTCCCATCCGACAGGGTTGGCCCTAACTGTCTATCACTTCTCACTGGAAATCGAAATAACTTTCTTACGGAACTAGACTCAGTGGTCTATAGGTTAGGCGTTCGAGCGCGAGACTGAAGGTTCTTACTTGGATTCCCACAAGCGTAGGTCGTGGATGCGAAATGCCGATAAGTCCCATCCTAGAACGAAGACGAGTGTAAAGTGCTTCCAGGTTTCGAATAGTGGTCATACGTTGATTGATTCATTATTTCAATGAAACTCAACAATCTACACAACCCTATAAGTGAAAATACACTTCAATCAATTATCTTCTATCTCCCCAACTCCAATGAGACACATAAATTCAACAAACGAATCTACATACACGTTCATCATACAAACATTGCAGTTAGTGTAAACAATATCTCACTCCCTATCTCTTCGCTACACATCAAAATGGCACAATGGCACACAATTATGACAAAGTATTAAAATATATTCGCTAAACTAAATGTCATACAACTAATTAAGTAGAACAGAGGAGAAACGTCATCGTCATCATCATCATTATCATCAACAACTTCATCATCCATCTTGCTTCAACAACGTTAACATTTCAGTGTAGAAGTAAGTTATATAAACAAATACGATGTATACCAATGCGTGTATTTATATTCCAGTATACACAAGTTAGTTATTCACAATGATTGTGATACAGGTGTACACACTTCACTGTGTATATGTTTCAATGTCTGCCGATGGAATGTGTCAACCTTAAGTTTAGAGGAAAAATGGTGTTGTTTAGCAACAGGTAGAAGAAAGTATAGGCAAAAGGTAGGAAGGAAATTAACTGATACTTGCAACGCTTGGCGACTACGCCATCAATATTTCCAGAAGAATTTGATTCTTCTTCACCCACCTCCTTCTCTCTCTCTCTCCATCAATTCCTCATTCATACAATCATTTTCCTAATATGAAGATTGATGAAAACACATCACACCTCACCACCCTCCAACAACCTCTCCCTCATCATTCTCCATAATATAATATAGACATCACAATGTGCAAATCCATTTTGTAGAAATGTCACAAATTGTCGCCAAATTATTTCACATTGTCTCTCTATCAATATGTGCATGGTATTTTAGTTAACACTTACAATGAATTGTGTTGGTGTCTAGGTATTCTCTAACTTACGTGCATCATTCGACAACTTGAAATCTAATAGTGTAAACAATTCAACAACTTGAAATCCACTTATCAGATACATACAGACAGATACATCCACATTCACTAGTCACATTTCTTCAAGTATAATAGTGTAGAGAATAGAACTGACTACTACATATACAGTGCAGATTGATATAATGAATGGTAAATAACCAAGTTAGCCAAACACAATTGAATGTCATCGATCGATTGAAGAAATAGGCATCAAAATGAACGTATATGTGTTGGTGACTAGTTTGTTATTCGTTTCACGGTGTTGTGGAATTTCATCATCTACCACCCTCCTCCCATAATCTCTCTCTTCATTCCTTACAATCTAAATAAAATATTCGATGTTTATTCAACATTAGTGTGTACGAATCAACACGAATCATTAATGATGGTTAGTTATGCAGAGAATGGTGAAGTTACGATCATTTCAACTGATTAACAAGTGACTGTAAAGTGGGTGTGTGTGTTTGTGTGTGTGTACGTGTATGTGTATGTGTACCGTATTGGATGTTTATGGTATGTGACAACATTGATTTGTTTGATAAACAAACCAGTGATGTTTGTATTTACTACTGATATTCTCATAATTTGTATAGTGTCGGAATAAAACGATACACACCAGAGAATATTGTTCATCAGTTGTTTACAGATAGTTTTAGTTGTGAACAACCATGTTTATCCTAAATGATAATTCATAATTGGGTTAAGGGGCTTTACATTAGTTCTTATGTTGTTTGAGACAATCGGTTGATCAAGTAAATGTCACAAAGGTTGCATACGATAGATACACTTTGTAGCATGCTGATATTAGAATTATCGTCTCGTTGTAGTATGATGTATGAAATAGTTCTCAGTCTAGTTAATTATTAAATGCAGCAACGAACAATCAGAATAAACGATTCTTCAATTTATGCGTGCAACACTCAACTAGTCAATTGAAGTCACTCGTAGTTATATCCACCAAGATCAGTTATACTCGAAAGCCTACTACACACAGCATCTCATCAGGTAAACTTCAGAGCGTCACACACACTATCCGAAATTGTCCAGCGAAACTCAGACAAATTTTCAATAAAATCGTTGATTTGTTTGTTTCAACTCATTTGAAGGAAGTACAACATTATTAAATATTCGAACAATATGAATAGAGGAGATGGGATTAATCTTGACGAGCAATTAGTACTATGTACTTCTGTTGACATTAGTTGTTGAGTATTGGGTTGTTCAATTACTTAGCACCTTAATGTCTCTGGAAAGGTTTGTAAATCTTGAGTTTGAATAATCATGATGATAGTGTTAAGAAGCAGAGAGTGTAGCATGGTAGTGTGGTGCTGTGGTGCGAACTACTTATAAGTAGTATATAACGTGAGTGTCAACCTAAAGTCTGGCAGCAGAAGATGGGGCAAGATCAAGAAAGGAAGAGTTAGAAAACAATGGAATTTGTATGAAACGCATGAATAGTGACAATGGATTGATGTTTGGCAACAGGAACAGTCCAGTTCGATATGATGAACTGATCTTTTGCAAATGAACGATTTACGATATGGTTTTCCGATTTTACTGAGTAACTCTGTAATTTTCGTTAAATTCAATTCGGTTGCCCCACCTGTGTTCTCATTCACTACAGTAGGAGTGGGAAACATTTTCATGATGAACATCGCATATTATTGATGTTCAGTGATAACATCCTGCTCAATGAACGTGAACTGATTATCAGTAGGATCAGTCGTTGTCAATAACATTCGAGTGAAATGATATTCAACAGAATGTAGACATTTTTTCAGTTCATTTCATGCATCGTTCATGCAGACCTGTTGAAACACATTCATTATGAAAAACATTAATACATGATATTCAAGCAGTTAAAAAAAAGTTAGAAATGGAGTTTACCAATCAAGAAATCAGAACACCAACAAATGCCATTGCACATTCATAAAAAAGAATCAATTTTTCACTGCTATTGTTTTCATATTCCCTTGATCTCTGTTCATGATTGCAAGTTTCTAAATTCACACACTGTCAATTAACCTGTAGTACTAGTCTGCTTCGAAATTTTCAAAGTTATATCACATCGTTCAATCTGAATTATTTTTTCTAGTTAGCGTTTTCTTAGTGAGTTAGTTTTCTATTGGATGGGGTTGTTAACCTCTCATCCAACCCTCCTCTTTTATCCGGGCTTGAGACCGGCAGTAGCAGCAGAGGAGCTCCAGGTGGAGTTGATAGTGGTGTAACGGAGTTAAAATCAGTGTGTATGATGTTGCTAACCCGTTCTGTTTTCGTTCTATTGCAGGGCGATCAAACATAAACGCTTTGAAAGCTGAAGAACAAGCCCTGCGTGTTTTGAACCCACAGGATGACTCAAAGATTTTGGTAAACAAGCAATCCCCTTTCTGTAAAAAACCTGCTATATTTGATTTTAAAATAAAGAACGCCGTGGCTACCACTTCGTGTTCTCTCTTGGTGTGAAGTGTTAAGTTAATCTTGTGTGTTGTGATTTTAGATCCTATTCGCACTTCAGTGACCGCTGATTACACATGTTACAGTGTTATAGGTCATATAAGTACTAAGGCAGAAACTTGAAGAACTACTAAAGCCATCATCCAGAAGGTAAAAGTATTTATTAACAGTTGTCGATGCAAAATACTTCGGATCCTCTGGTCAGACACCACCAGCAACAACGAACTGTGGGACAGAACGAACTAGATTCCGGTTGAGGAAGAAA